CCATCTGTCCCAGTCACCATGAAATAAAAATTTCACAAAATCATAATTCTTTCTATCCTTTGTACTGTATCCTGGTCATTTCCGTTCTATTTAATATTTTAGAAAACCACTAAATTTGTTTCATGGTGTACAGTTAAAAAATGTTCGGATTCTGGGACACCTGGGTGGCTCAGTGGTTGGGACACCTGGATGGCTCAGTGGTTGAGCATCTGCCTTGGGCTCAGGTCATGATCCTGGGTCCTGGGATCGAGTCCCACATTGGGCTCCCTGCAGGGAGCTTGCTTCTCCCTCTGCCTGTGTCTCTGCCTCTCTCTCTGTGTCTGTCATGAATAAATAAATAAAATCTGAAAAAAAATGTTGAGACTCCTTTTCCTCTGGTGCTAGCGACACCATGTGAGAGGGGTCTTTTTGTACACAGCATTTTTACTCCCACAAAAGATGATATGATTAAGTTCCCTTCCCAAAAATGTAATTTAAAATGTCAAAAGCATGTTAAGACAAAAAAATGAATGAATGCTACTGTCAAAGAATTTTCTCTAGCAGTTGTGCCTGTTTACATGCCCACTGATACTGTGAATTCCAGTTGTTCTATATCCTTCTGAACACCTAGCATTGCCAGTATTTTCTGTTTTAACTACCATAGTGGGTAGGCAGTAGTTGTCATGGCCATTTTTAGTGAAGTCCATCTAAAATGTCTTGCGCCTTCCAGTGTTTTTCAGCAGAATATGAATGAAATTGTTGATCGCAGATCAGCTAAGTTCAGATATTTTGAATTGTCATTCCTTTTGCTGTTTATGATATGTCCACCCCGATAGCCAGTGGGTCCTTTGTTAATGCTGTCATAAGGGTTCACCATATGAGCTTCTCCTCTACTCCTTCACCGACGGAGAATAAACTAGAATAGGCACCCCAAGTCCTAATTGCAATCTCAGGGCTGCGGAGCTGCCTCTGTATATACTCTGTGGGCAGTTCAGACATAGCAAATCTCTTATCCTTTGCCTACACAGGACCCTGTCCCAGATCCCCTTCTCTCTATCTGCGTCCACCCCTGTGGACTAGGATTCATTTACTGTAGTCTGGGGTCAGCCTTCACTCCAGAGGAAAACCGTGTTTGGCTGATGACTAGTGCTCTCAGCCCTTCTCTGTAGGGGCAGGGTGGGGTTGCACAGAAAGGGGAAGGGTGTGCCTGGCAAGGTGAGGAGCCAGCAAAGTGAAAAGCCAGCAGGGCCCAGCTGTGGCAGGGGAGGGTGGGGGTTGGAGGGTGGGGGGATGGGGAATGGGGAATGGGAATCTGCTTATCTTGCTTACATCAGGAGGCCAACCCTCCTGAAATCCAGAATACCATTCACATGCGAGTCCACTGAAAGCATCAGACAAAAGATTGGGCCTCTTCCCAGTCTTAATTCAGGATGAATTCCAGGGTGATTTCAGGTAATGCATACAGTCTTCTCAGCTCCACTTTCTCTCTTTGTTACATGCCACCAGACTTCCAAGAGAAAATGGTCAAGGCAGAAGGTGCTGGGAGAAGGGAAGAAGGCATCTGCTTTAGCCTCCCTGCCTACCCAAGAACACCACGTTTTACGTTTGTGAATCCATTGTCTTTAAATATATTTGCAATTAGTCAATGCCTGCTCTTGATGATTGATGATGATGTTTCCTAATATTTTTTTTTAGATGTCCGCCAGGACAGTACTGTTGAAACAGAGTACCCTGATTCCTTCCCTTTAATGCCCTGTGTGAACCTGTACACCTATAGAACAGTTGAATTAAATATGATGTAAAAAATGCTCATGAATTACATATCACTAATTATTGTTCTCTTGAGACTCTATCCAAGCGATGGTAGACTGTAATCATGAAAGTCATCTGTTTTTCATCTTTATGCAGTTCTTTCCTATCCTCTGGTTGTTTCTTTGGCATTCTTTCATTTCTGTTTGACTCAGGTTTGAGAATTGAATAGATTAAAGCCAAGAACTTTTCTAATACATGGATTAAAGAGGAGCCTCACAAGGCTAACGTCCCAACATGAATTGATAAATAGGATCATGGAGGTGAAAGTATTTTCTACAGCTTCACGCAGAGAGAGAGAATGTTCCCTTGCATAACAGCCTAAAAGAGTGGCCTAATGTTCAGTGTGTAGCATAAACCAAAACGCGAATAAATGTCCCACTTCCTTTTAGTTGAGAACATTTTAAGTTGGACAGTCACAAAAGATAACAGTTATAGAGATCAGTGGCTTAGTCACACCCCAAGTATTTATTTTTCTCAGGTTCTTGAATTTGTAGTGAGTTTTATCTCAGCTCATTTAAGTTCACCTTGGATCTGGTTTCCACCGTTAGTCATAGCCTATCTTATTGCTGCCATTCCCTCAAAGGGACAAGAGAGTAACGTCATTATTGATTTTGGTCACCAGTGGACTGCTTCCTCGTGTAACTTCTCTTTGGAAAGTTTGAAGTAGTCGCAATAACTAATCTCCCCTCGCAGAGAGACAATCAGGTCAGCAGATATTTCTCCTGGCAGCTCTTCCTTCCGTTTGGTGTTTCCTTTCTCAGGGCTGCGGGTGTGCATAAAAAACATAGTCCAGAAGAAAAAAGATTTCACATTTGCTTCTATTAACCTTTCCCTAGAAGAAGAGCAGGGGAGGAGTGACACTGGAACTTGTATTGTAAAAATAATGTGTGTGTTTTTTTGTTTTTGCAAGCATGCTAAGTAACAAGGGATCTATCTTAGCTGGGGATCGCCTGTATAGGGCATTTAGGAGAAAGAGTGATTGCCAACCCCACCTTCCCAAACCAGCCCCGACATACCATGAAAGTATCTTCACTGTTTTTATCGATTATAAAAGTAATGCACGCTATATGTGATGAATATAAACAGTATTTGTAAAGTAGATTATAAAGAAGATTCCCCATAGTTGGTGATATTTTTCAAGGAATGTGTGTGTGTGTGTGTGTGTGTGTGTGTGTGTGTATTGTCAACATAAACGGAATGATACTTGGCATACTAGTCTATAAGCTGCTTTTTCCTCACTGAGTATTTTGCAGGGTCTTTGCTACATATGTCATTGTCTGCAGATCTGTCTGCTGCATTCTTGGGATGAATCAGAGTTGATTTGCATAATCCCGCTCAATGGACATTTTGGTTATTTCCTGTTTTCTGACTTTGTAAGACTATTTTGTTCCATATGCTAGCCACCAGCCACGTTTGGCAATTTAACTGAATTAGAGTCAAATAATGTTTAAAATTTACAGTCACACTTGCCACGTTTCAAGTGCTCAGTAGCTATATGTAACTAGCCCAGAGGAAGAACTTGACTGTCATTGCATGAAGTTATGTTGGACAGTGAGTGCTGTTCTAAACTGCTGGTTTTCAGATTTTTTTTTAAAGATTCTGTTTATTTATTCATTCATAAGAGACACACAGACAGAGGCAGAGACACAGGCAGAGGGAGAAGCAGGCTCTGTGGGGAGCCTGATGGTGGGACTCGATCCCAGGACACTGGGATCAGGCCCTGAGCCAAAGGCAGATGCTTTACCATTGAGCCACCCAGGATGTCCCTCAGATTTTTTTTTTTTGAGTACATGTTTCCATTCTTTTATTCATCCATTCAACAAATAATTATTGAGTGCCTCCTATGTGCCAAGCATTGTACTAGCTACTTGGGTATCTCACTCACAGAACATAATTACCTGCCCTCATAATGTTTAGCATTCTACCTGCAAAAGGTTTTGAATATTCACTCCCAATAAATGTATGTGTACTACGAGTTGCATATGTATCCTATTATGTTGTTATATTATAAAACATAATATATGGAACAAATTAAAATAGAAAAGAAAAAGAATAAAATAAAAATGTAAATAATTTCCAGAATAGTCTTGCCATGTCGCACCTCAGATACCACTGTTCTGAATGATGCTCTTGTACTAGGTGGCCATCTCAAAGATTCTTGTAGTTGTTACCTCATTTTAAACAGGTAGTCCTGGGCAGCCCAGGTGGCTCAGTGGTTTAGCACAAGCCTGCAGCCCAGGGTGTGATCCTGGAGACCTGGGATCGAGTCCCACATTGGGCTCCCTGAGTGGAGCCTGCTCCTCCCTCTGCCTGTGTCTCTGCCTCTCTCTCTCTCTGTCTCTCAAGAATAAATAAATAAAATCTTAAAAATAAAATAAATAAACAGGTGGTCCTTCTGTCTTGATATTCCTGCTAAATCTATTTATTTCCTAAAAAGACCTTTCTCTCTCTCTCTTTTATTTTTCTATCTGTAGGCTTTTTCCTACAGTTTGAATTTGTTCTTTACTTACATATTCACTTACTTAGTAAGCATTTATGAAGTTCTTATTGTATGCCTGGTAGATGCTGGGAAATTAAACATGTCAGAGTTCCTGCTATCAAATGAGACAAGCCAGCAAATCACTTATTCTGATACAAGGTGTTATGGGAATGCAAGAAAGGGGCAAATAAAAGATTGGGAAAACTAACGGCAGCTTTTATGATCTCCTCTTTGCTGAGTTATTACACTCTGTTTTGGGACTTCATGGAATCACATATTGCTTCTTTTTTTTCCCCATGGTATTTTCTTTTGAAAAATATAAAACTCTAAATTATTAATTTAAGGATATTAAACCACAGTGATTGTCACATTAAATATCTCTTTATGTAAAATGCTTATCTTTCAATTTTTAAACTTAGATATTAGGGTTGGAAGGGCTCTGTATAGGATAGAAATGAAGTCCAAATAATTATGTAGCTCCTTTTGTTTGAGAAGGGGAAGCAAAAATCATCCCCAGGGATATGTGTTGATTCATGCCTTAACTTAATAAATATTAACAAAATACTTTCTCTGCAGGAAGAAATCACCTTAGGTTAATTCCACTTAATTCCAAAATATATTTCCTATATGGGTTTTTACTTAGGGAATTCTGAGGAATATAATGGACAATATGATTTAGAGTAAACTTGAAATGAAAGAATTGATCCTATGTTTATTCCCTCTCTTTTAGGGCAAGTTAAAGTATTCAGAGCTCTTTATACGTTTGAACCCAGAACTGTAAGTATTCTGTGTTTTTTTTTTTTTTAATTTTTAAAATTATTTATTTATTTATTTATTAATGAAAGACACAGAGAGATTGAGAGAGAGAGAGAGAGAAACAGAGAAATAGGCAGAGGGAGAGCAGGCTCCATGCAGGGAGCCCATTGCGTGGGACTTGATCCCAGGACTCCAGGATCATGCCCTGGGCCAAAGGCAGGTGCTCAACCTCTGAGCCACCCAGGTGTCCCAGTATTCAGTTTTGTTTTTGTTTTTGTTTTTATTTTAAGATTTTATTTATTTATTTATGAGAGACACACAGAGAAAGAGAAGCACAGACACAGGCAGAGGGAGAAGCAGGCTCCATGCAGGGAGCCTGATATGGGACTCAATCCTGGGTCTCCAGGACCATACCCTGGGCTGAAGGCGGCACTAAACCACGGAGCCACCTGCGCTGCCCTCGTATTCCCTTTTTAACTTTAAAATTGACATAAAAACCTAAGGTGATTTCATTTAGATACTTCCTCAGGCCTAAATGACCTGTCTTTTCTTTGATAGTTGTACATGATTCATGAGAATGGATGATCAGTCACTTCTGTGCAGTCCAGAGGTGTGAAAGCTTAGTCCCTCATTGATCTGAATGTGTCTGCACCTTGGGGTCATGTCATCCACCCTGTTCTGCTTCCCCACCTTTCATCACACCACCCACTTTAAAAATCACCACGTAACCCCCATATAAAGCCCATGACCTGATCTTAGTCATACTTCCTGTAAATCTCACGCTGACCTTCCTGGTTCTTCCTGTTGACCCTCTACCTCAGGCTGCCTCTTAACAGCACCTTTTACCAACTATCTAGAGCCATTTTTTATGTGTCTGCTGTGTATGCTTTCCATTATTATAGTTTCTGGGGTCCATCCATCCTTGGTTTAGTGAGCACTTACCATGTGCCAGACCCTGGCCCAGGCCTTAGGGACTGTGCTACATCAACAGAAAGGGTGGCCCTCTGGAGCTCGCATCCCACTGAAGGGAGACAGACAGTAAGCAGACAAATGAACATGACTGTAAGGGCCTGATCAGTGCTATGAAGTAAAATAAGGAGGGGATGGGGCTAAAAGGTTAATGGAGAAAAGAGTCATTTTCAGCAGAGTGTTTGAGGATGGCCTTTCTATAAAGGTGACGTTCCAGTAGAAACCTGAGGGAAGTAAGAGAACAAGGGAACAGCAAGGAGAGTGTTTGGTGGGTTCTAGAAACAGCAGGGAGATGCAACTAGAACAAAGGAAATGGGGAGGTAGGAGATGGGTTCAGGGAGCCTGGGCAGAGAGAGAGAGCAGATCATGTTGGGCCTCCTGGGGTAAGATGGAAGGTTTTGAGTCTAGGGTTGATCAGACAAGTTTTAGAAGGTGTGGGAAACTATCCAGCAGAGTGAGTGTGGGAGCAGACCATCCAGTTAGGAGGCAGAGGAGAGAGACCCAGCAAGGAAATGGGCTCCCTTGACTTCCCGTCTTCCTCCCTGGAGATGGGAGCCTTTGTGCTTGGGGGGAAGCCAGCTTGCTGCTGGGTTTGCCTGAGTTTGCCCTGGACCCTGTTGTCCCCAGAGCCGAACACCTCAGAAGGTAGCACAGAATGAGTGGTAGCACAGAATGAGTGACACTGACTGCCACTCACTGCCATTCACTGCCATCAGGCTGAGGTGGGCCCTCAGATTCCAAATCTGTCATACACTCTCCGTGAATTTACTTCCCCCGTGGCCCTCTGTGTCCTCATTTTGAAAATGGGAATGACATTAGCCATCCTACAGAATTTTGCTCTGAGCAGGGAATGAGACTGATAATCCAAGCCTTGCATGCAGTGAGTGCCAGGAAACCGTAGCAGGGAGTACAGCTGGTTCGGGGTGTGTGCATGTTCTGATGAGTTCTCCCCAGGACTTTATCAGCAAAGTGCTCCTGGGATAAGAAAGGGGTTGAGTGGGTAGATGTAAATCTCAGTTTTTTCTTCTTTTTTAAAAAGCTTTCATTTATTTGAGAGGGAGAGCACGAACTAGGGAGGAGAGGGAGAAGCAGACTCCCCACAGAGCAGGGAGCCTGACCTGGGGCTCGAACCCAGAACTCCAGGATCATGACCTGAGCTGAAGGCAGACACCTAACCAGCTGAGCCACCCAGGTGCCCCAGGTTTTTATTCTTACTAGGACATTCCATGCTATCTCTGCTGTATTGGTAGAGCAGGGAATGAACGGGCAGCGTGTTAGCTTGCTAGGGCTGCCTAACAAAGTACTGCAGACTATGTAGCTTAACCGACAAAAATTTTTCTTAGAATTTTGGAGGCAAGGCATCATGTGAAGTGTAGACAGGGTTGGTTTCTTCTGAAGCCTCTCCTCAACTTGTACGTGATTGTGTACCCTTGTGTCCCCACAGTCTTTCCTCTGTGCTTGGTTTCGTTTCTCTTTTCTTTTCTTTCTTTTCTTTTCTTTCTTTTTTTTCTTTTTTTTCTTTTCTTCTCTTTTCTTTTCTCTTTTCTTTTTTCTTTTGTCTTTCTTTCTTTCTTTCTTTCTTTCTTTCTTTCTTTCTTCTTTCTCTTTATTTGAGAGAGAGAGCATGAGAGACAGAGAGATCACAAATGGGGGAGGGACAGAGGGAGCAGCAGACTTCCACTGACTGGGGAGTCCAATGTGGGATTCTATCCCAGGACCCTGGGATCATGACTTGAGCTGAAGGCAGACACTTAACGCCCTGTCCTGTCAGTTTCCCAGTCTGCTCTTCTTAACCGGATACCAGTCATTTATGGATTAGGGTTCACTCAAATGATTTTAATTTTAATTTAATTACTTCTTTAAAGAATCTGTCTCCAAATAAACTCTCATTCTGAAGTCCTGAGGGTTAGGACTTCAACACATGAATTGGGGGGTGGGACACACAAAAAGTACGTGTTGCTGTCTTTGTGTTTGTCCTCTGCTCACAGGAAGGCTGTCATTTCCTGTGTCTGATTATCCTAATCAATGGTTTCCTAGGTTGCAAGATGCCTGAGGTTGATAGAAGTGAGGGTTGGGGGGTGCTCATCAGCCGCCCTCCTGGGCTGCTCAGTGAGTAATCAACCATTCTCTGCGGCCTCCCGCACTCTAGGAAGGAACCTGCCTGTACTCAGTTTGAGACCAGACATGACTCCTGACTCTCCCCCACCCCTCCCCCAAGTATCCTGTTGGTCATCATCACCTTTGTCCTTTCTCACTAACCTCCTCCTCCTTTAGTTCTCTTGTGCGTTTTCTTGCTTCTAGCACAGGGACTCCAGGTTGCCCATTCCACCTGCACTCCTCTGTCTGATTAATTTTCCTGAGATGTAGCTTTGATCCCATCATCTGTTTCAATTCTTTGACTTAAGATAGAGGCCCCTATGGTGCAGCCTGTTCCTAGCCCGCTGTCCTCTGCTCCTTCCCCTTCTTAAAACCATTCCAACCTGGATCTGATACACAATAGGACCTGTCTCTAAATCCTCTCTGAGCTCTAATAACATACTTCCTTTTCCTGGGGCACCTGGGTGGCTCAGTTGGTTAAGCGTCTGCCTTCGGCTCACGTCATGATCCCGGGTCTTGGGATGGAGCCCCACATTGGGCTCCTTGGTCAGTGAGGAGTCTGCTTTTCCCCATCTGGCTGCTTATGCCTTCTTGTGCTCTCTATCTCTCTAAAAAAAAAAAAAAAAAAACAAATAAAATCTTTAAGATAAAAAATACTTCCTTTTCCATAGAGACTCTCTGATTAACCCAGCAAAGAGCTAAGTTTCCTCCTCTAAACATCCACATTTGGCATTTCAGTCCTGCTCCCTGTATCAGTACTTAGGAGGCCAGCAGAAACACAGGGCTGTTCAGAGCTGGCCATGGTTTTAGGACCCACTCTGCCTCTATGGCATCTATGTGACTTGGGAAATTTGGGAATGCCCTAACCTCTTTGCCTCAGCATGTTCCTTTGTAAAAGTAAGAGTAATAATCTCATAGGGTTTTAGTGCAAATTAGGTGAGATTGTGTGAAGCTGCTATTACTATTAGGAGGGCTAGTGGTTGCTGTATTCAGAGACATTTAGCAAATAGTTTTGAAGGGTTGACATACTGATTATTTTAATTTACCTTCAGTTCTTCCCTAGGATGGACTCTCTCTACTACTTTTTAAAAATCTTCATTGTAATTGAATGCACAGAAGAAAATAGATATTTAGTTCATTAGGTTTTTTGAAGAGTCTGTATTTAAAATGCTGTTTTAATATCCCTGCTCCCAAGGATCCTTGGCTGTGGGAGCATTGCTGCTAATTCATCCAGGATGTATGGTGGTTAGTAATGAGTACCCCCACGCCCACTGCCCCCACATTCTGCACCTGCCCACCTCCCCTCAATCCAGATATTAAAGGAGAGGTGGCTGGCTGGGCAAGTAGCCTCTGGCTCCCATGGGCCTTTCTGACTGCTTTAAGTTCCTCTGCTGGACCAGTTATTCAATATTTTGAATCTCATCCCAGAGCTAGTTTAGTTTTACATTCTTTTTCTGAATAAGAATTTCTGTTGGAGAATGCAGGAAGCTTAGTTTGTCTCTCTCCTCCATCTCTTCCAGTAGCCATGCCTGGAGGGATGGATGTACCCTGGTATATCCTAAACTGACCTGGCCTCCTCAAGATGATTGGGGCCAGACAAGATGGAAGGGCTGAGCTGGGTCCAGCTTCTACTCTTCTGTCCTCCGGCAGTAGGCAGAGCAATGCCCAGCATCAATCTCAGTGATCCACGGAATGAGCAGTTTCTCACTCCGGGTTCTTCCTGCCATCCCATTTTTCTTCTGTCTTGCTTGAAGACAGGATAGTCCTGGCACCACCTGTGCCTGTTTGGTTCTTAATTCTTGCCCAACCCCTGGTCTAATAAAGCCTCCCACAGAGATCTGGCTGGACTGGATAGACCAGTGTCAAGTTGCCCTGATAGAAAGGGAACAGCATTTTCTGTGTGCTGGCGGTGTATTGGTTTCTGTTGGAACAGCAGCAGGACCCTGCTCTGTTGTGTCATGTTTCCATGCTTACTAGGTTTGTAGCACTCTGTGTACAGGCAGGAACCCTAGAATCAGATTCCAAAAGCTGAAGTGAGAGCCCAACCCTGCCACTCACTAACTGTGATTTGTGGCACGTTCTTCAAATCACTCTAAGGCTAGTTATGAAATGGAGATGAAACCCATGTTTCAGCCCTGCCCTAATGGGTTGTTTTAAGGATTGAATGAGGTGAAGCATGCTTTGAAAGAATAAGGTGCTTCTTGGTTTTGTCATACTGCATCAAGTGGGAATGGGAGTAAGGGTGAACCACAGATACTTTCCATAGCCACCATCTTTTAACCTGGTCATGATACCATGATGACTAGTACTGGCTATGCATGACCCTTTATAAGGGAGAAAGTATAGGTGCTGGTAAAGACTCCAGGGTCTAGAAAGAAAGAAAAAAAAGAAAGAAAGAAAGAAAGAAAGAAAGAAAGAAAGAAAGAAAGAAAGAAAGAAAGAAAGAAAGAAAGAAAAAAGAAAAAAGAAAAGATTCCAGAGTCTTAACTGTCGTGGTTCAAGTCTGGTGTCGACCACATACCTGTTCTGTGGCCTTGGACAAGCTTCTTGCCTCCAATATGATGAAAAGAGTACCACCCACTTCATGGTGTTGTGAGTGTCCATAACCTAGCGCCTGGCACTAAATAGTACTATAAAGTGGTAAATAAAAACATCCTTGGAAAATTTGATTTTTAAAAATCTTTTTATTAATTCTTGGGTTTCCAGGTTGATAAATCTGTAAAGTTTCACCAGTATGTTGTAGTTTCTCCAAAGTTTTTTGTAAAATATGTATCTTCATAAACTAACAAAACGAGAATGCCTTGGGAATTGTGTGTTACCAAAAATATATGAAACAGGAATGAGAATATATATTACCAAGTTTGTACTCATCGCTCCAGCATTCCAGTGGCCAACAATTTGCTTGTGCTGATACCTTGTGGTTCTTCAAGGAGAGAGGAAAAGAAGAATGCGGTTGAAAACCAAACAACAAATGAGAAATAAAGTGCTTACTTGATTGTGTCACTGTTTTCCCACTTCTGTTCCATGAATGCGATGCCAGGAATGTAAAAGTAGACCCTCATCAAATCATTTACATTAAGTGCCCTGCACATGGTTTCTTAATGGAAAGTGTGAATATTGTGGGTAAAATCTATTTAAATTTTAAAATCATGAAAATGACCTTGTCTATACTGCCACCAACAGTGTGAGGAATTTGGTAGACCACCTCCTGGGATAGGTTAGGAAAAACTGCCCCTAGTTCCTTTGGAAGAAGATATTTTATGGGGAATTGCCTTGTCTGGGAGCTATTGATTAAAAAGAGAAAAAACTGTTCACTTCCCTTTCTCCGGGGAAAAAATAGTGAGGTCTTTCTTTTTCCTGACTGAAATCGACCGCCTCTTGTTCTTCTCTCAGCTGAAAACAAGTCTCACCTAATAGGTGGCTTGTGGCAGACACCAGTGTTTGAATGGCAGCCATTATTTTAAAAACCAAAACAGCACTGAGAAGTGTTGAAATGACTGTATTTAGTAACATGTTCCAAATGATGCGTTTTACCAAACCGCAAAACACGAGAATCACTTAAAAGAAAATTAAGAGTCTTAACTGTTCTTGGCTTTTTATTGCTTTCAAATTGCTTTTATTTTTATTTTATTTAATTTTTGTTGCCTTTTAAATAATTGAGGTAAAAGGTCACATAACATAAAATTAACCATTTTAAAGGGAACAGTTCAGTGACATTTAGTATATTCACAATGTTGTGAATTGTGAAATGTGACAACCCCCACTTTCCGGTTCCAAAACGTTTTCGTCTTCCTAAAAAGAAATCCTATACTCATTAGGTACTTACTTTCCATTATTGGGGGTTTATACCTTTTTTTTTTTTTTTTTTTTTTTTTTAATGAGAAGGTCTCATCACAGGGATTTTTGTATTTGTGCTTTTTTGAAGCTGTTTGTTCAGTACTTTTTCCCCCCCCCCCAAACATGCCTTTTTGGTTCAAGGGTGAATGAACTTAATACATGTAGAAATTTAGGCAAACTTGACTTGTGATTTTAGAAGGAGGTCAACACCATAGGTAGAGATGATCCTTAACTTTCACGAAAGTGCCCTTGTTAGACATTAGTGGGCAAGGATAGTTCTTGGGAAGGTACAGGTAAGAATGGGCTTTGGATGGCTCTAAGACTAGAGAGATCTCATCAAGATATTGTACTCTTTCAAACTCTAAGAAACTCAGAGTCCCTCCAGAAAAATGCCAAGCTTTCACATATGTTCTGTTTTCTTTACTTCTTTACATTCTACTTCATTCTCTCCTCCTAACCCTTATTACCATCTCAAATGGTGTTAAAATTGCCAGCAAAGGCCAACCTTCCTGTTACAGTAATGACCACTGTATTTAAGATAGCTGGGGTGCTTGGTTGACCTTGTGTCTCCTTTCTGGCCTCTCTGGGAGAGATCCGGTTTGCAACAGGATCACTAAAGGAAATAGTTTGTATCCACAATCACTTTCTGTACTCATCATATTTTGGTAGCATATTGATCACAGATCAGCAAAATATGATAGAGATAGAGAGAGCTTCCTGAGTGGCTCAGTCAGTTAAGTGGTTGCCTTTGGCTCAGGTCATGATCCCAGGGCTCCCTGCTCAATGAAGAGTCTGCTTCTCCCTCTTCCTCTGCCCCTTTCCCCTACTCATGCTATCTCTTTCTCTTTCTCAAATAAATAAAATCTTAAAAAAAATATGATAAAGATTAGAGAAGATCATAGAGGACTTTTTTTGCCCTAAATGCCTATTTCAAATAATATTAAAACCTATGTCATTGAGTCTACATAGGTTTAACTAATTTTGCATAGCTTGTGCTGTGTGTACTAAGTCGACTCAATAAATCAATCATAAATGCAACAAATGCTTCAGAAAGTACCTTTTAAAAGAACTCAGCCATTTTTTTCTGTCATTAACTATCATTTGGTAATTTTTATGTTTGAATGCATAATACACCTAAGTATTTATGTATGTGGTTGCCTAAATCATGGTATATATATTTCTTCATTTATATTCAGGAGGAAATAGTTATAATAAAGATCAGCTTTGAAACATTAGTTTGTCAGTAATGTTTCATTATGGGCTCCGTGTATAGATTTAAGTATCTAAGTACCACATTGTCTATAAAATACTTTAGGATTTGAAACTCACATAATGATTAGCATAATCCTAATATTCTAATTCATGAAAAAATCACATGAAGTCAAACTGTATATATTTTTTTCTTTCAGCCAGATGAATTGTACTTTGAGGAAGGTGATATCATCTACATTACTGACATGGTAAGCCCAGCAAATACTACATGTGACCTAATGGTGCATAAGACTGGTGTAGCTGCAATATTGTACACTATTTAAATGTTTATCTGTATAGAAATACATATGCCCAGGTTTGTTCATCTTAGCACAATTTGTAATAAAATTTGATGTAGCCCTTATGTTGACCTATAGGAAAATAGTTGAATAAACCTCAGTATATTCACAAGTAGAGTATGATACAGCTATCTAAAAAGGAATGAGGAATATCTCTAAAGTAATTTAAGTGAAGTAATTAAGTGAAAAGTAAGTAAGTGAGTAATTAAGTGAAAAAAGGTGAGGTGAAAAAAATGTGGACAGTATGCCTTACTTAAGAGAGGTGATATGTATAACTGTTTTCTTTAGTCTAAAACAAAAAAGCCAAAGGAGGAATCATAAAATCACACTTAAAAAATAGTTTCTTGTATATGAGGGAAGGGACATAGGGTAGAGGGAACATGAAATATAGAGTTTTTAAAAATTACCCATTGCTTTGGAGCTCGCCTTTGGAGTCATGTAAACTTTTGCATAACTCTAAAATTAAATTAAATGGCAAAAAACAATCCCTGAAATTTAAAAGCAGAATGAATCAAATGAAGTTAATTATACCTCAGGTAATTGGCATAACCGCACAGAAAGGAACCATTCCAAGTGACCTTAAAACTCAGCAGTTCGCCTGAGCATCTCCAGTAGAACATACAGGAAGGATAAAAATGACTGGCAACAAAATCACTGTTTTTAATCATGATCTTGTAGTAGAAGCATTGGCATTGCTGTTCTGAGATTGTTACATGTGTATTGTGGTCTAGAGCAAATGAGTCATTCGGTCAGTGATACTGAAAATTGGGATTTTCAGCCTGCAAGAAAAAATAAAAGATCTTACACAGATGTAAGATCAATGCGGTTAAGTAAAAACCCTGCAGCTCTGCATCTGTATTGCTAGTGTGTTGTATTTTATCTAAAATCAAATAAAAACACATCCTGCTCTGTCCTTTGAAAAGGCCTAGAAAAAAAATGACCAACCCAGTAAGAATATGTTATTTTGCATTGAAAGGAACAAGGCTCTTTTGAGAAATACCTGTTACCAGTTTGGGGGCAGCAGAGGTGCAAGATAATCCAGGACACTGTGTTATTGTTATTAGAAGCAAGGAAGCCTCCAAAGACAAGGATCACAGTAGCAGGACGGAAGGAAGTTGATGAGGCTGCCACTAGTCAAAGATAGGACAATTTGAGCAGACAAGTAGGGGAACAGTCCTCAAGGATTGAAACACATTTACCATATTTAAATTCATGAGCTGCCAATGATACTTCAAAAACCCAAGCATCATTCTTCACCCTGAGAGGATGTTACGGAACCAACTTTTTATTCTGACAATAAAAAGTCAGTTGAGGAAAATGATTAGTGTTGATCCTCCCATTTCTCTATGAACTTCAGTTGAGGAAAATGATTAGTGTTGATTCTCCCATTTCTCTATGAACTTCATCTCTGAATAACCTGAGAGTTGATGAGGGAAACTTTTTCTTTAAAGAGATATTCCAATTGATTAAATGATAAAGGAATGATAGAATGTCATCATTTTACAACCGTCAGGAAACAATGGATCCAGTTTATGCTCAGTGGCTAACTATCATTACAAAAAGAGACCATGAGACTTTAATGTGTCTCCCTGATGGAAGAAAGCAATACTACCTATAAGATAGTCTTGTCCAAAAAACTGAATCTGATTCTAATTAAGCCTCTAGAACTAAACAACTAATTGATAGGCAATTTGGGGAACAGAGGGAGACATTTTTGGTAACACAGAGATGCAACAGGCCAAATCCCCACTGTTTGAAACTCAGCAGAACAAAAAACTGGTTTCTTTCACAAGTGTATTTATAAAGGAGTGGAAAAAAAAAAAAAAGGAGACCTATAGACTAAGAGACCAAAGAGGAAAATCAGTCGATCATATTGGATGGCCCTTATTTGGATTTTAAATTGTAGGACAACTAGAAAACTTGAATATTAATGTAGATATTTGATGATATTAGGAAATTAATAAAATGAATTTTAAGCTCTGATAATGGTTTTATGTCTTTGGGAAAAATCCTTATCTTTCAGAAATACATACTGAGATATGTACAGGTGAAGTAATATAATATCTACAGTTTATTTCAAAATACTCTGAAGGGGAGGCAAGCCATAGGTTAGATGTATGAAAACAATTGGCCGTGGGTATTTATGCGGGTGGGAGATGAGGTTATGTATGTTCATTACACTGTTGTTCTTACTTTTTATAGGTTTGAATTTTTCTAACATAATGTTTCCCCCAAAATGAAGCTAAAATAAAGAGATCTTTAGAAAAAAAAATCTTGAAGCTAAGAGAAATTAGACTGAACAAAAAATTCTACAGACTGCTTAAATGTCATTGTTTTTTTTCCATTTTGTATGTCTCTCTGATTTGTGTGATGAAGTATATTGTATTTGTTGCAGGCCGATATGTGTATATTTGTACTTTAATGATAAGGGGAATGGACATTTGTAACTAGGGGGTGAGGAGGCTTGATGGTTGTGACTAGGGCCGATGGACATTCCGTAGAACAGGTGTATTCTATGAGCCAGATGGTTTTAAAAGTGATTGAATGTAAACTGGATATGGTGCCACTTAATTTAACTCTTTTTTCACTAGAGTGATACCAATTGGTGGAAAGGCACCTCCAAAGGCAGAACTGGACTAATCCCAAGCAACTATGGTAAGCATGGCTGAGGTGGCTTTTACTTCGCCTCTCCTTTGTGTACTTTCAATTATCTGGTTCCTGAAGTCTTTCTGCTTGCTGCTGTGGCTGAGAAATCAATGAAGTCATTGCCAGTGTAGGACATTTTGTACTCTGTGAATCTCTCGTTAATAAAACAGGATTGGACACTGGAGGCACTTGAACTTGATTCTTCGGCTTAAGAAAATGCATTATAGCACTTATGATAGAACCCAAGGTTTCCAGGGAAATGCTTATGGCTTTACTCTGTCCAACTCTTAGAATTTTTTTTTCCCTTTTCTTTTGCTGTTAAACCAAATCTCAGATTGTTTCTTAGTCTAGTCCTTTCTTTTGTGATGAAGTGACCTTGCCTTGTTAATTTATGTCTGGAGCAGTTATGTTCATTAAATGAGTATCAGGGCAGTTTGAGGAGCATGAGTAGTGAGATACAGCCCCTGACATGAAGCCACTTCTAGTTGCAAGAGGGAGAAACAGACTGAGTACTTCTGTAGAAAAGAGGAAAAAAAAATAGGAAAGTCCAAAGAGCACAGAACTGGTAAACAGGGTTTTAATCCTTTCTCTTCCACTTCTTAATCACAAGGGACTTTAGTGAAGGCACTTAACCACTGTCCCTGGGACTGTTTCCCCATCTGTGTAATGAGAGGTTTACTTTCAATCATTTCCAAGATCCCTTTTGACTTCAGCATTAGATGAATCCCTAGACCAAGAGGGCTGGCATTGGGCTGCCAGTTCCACACCCTGGCACAGAACTTAGAACATTTCCAGGAAGGTACTGCAAAGTTCCTAGGGGAGCAGTGAGGGGGAGGGGAAGGGAGAGAAGTGAAAGCCGAGGTCTGGGACCCAACACAGGGGCCCCACTTGCCCTGGTCTAAAGGTGATACCATTCTGGGTTAAAGAAGGCCTGAAACATTTCTACATTCCTCTAACCTTTGAAATCCGGAGCATACCTCTACCATGCAGTGCATTTCCAGCCAGTCATAGATACTGACCATGTCAAATATTCCTCTGTTGCTTTGGGTCTCCCACAGCCAAGAGAGAGTCCAGTTCCAGCTCTTTATGAAAGTGGGAGGGGGTAGGGCTGAAGTCTATTTTGAACCACGGTCTTCATGTGATCATTCCTGTCGATTCTGGGACAGCAAAGAACACTCCTTAGGGGCAGGTAGGTTTGCTGATTACTCTTCGTAAACACGGGAAGCAAACTGTCTCCCCCTCCTGCGTGCCCCCCACATGCACACACACGAGGGACACAGAATTCTTTTCAGCCATCTTCTAACTAGGGTGTTTTTACAGAATGTAGAAATGAGCATCGAATGTTTTCTTTTGCATTTTTGTGACTAAGTTTATGACACACTTGGCTGTACCGGTATGTAGGCCATGGATGTTTGTTTTTGCTTATACTTCCAGTTAATTACCGTGTTTGGTTTTTGTTTATATTTCCAGTTAATTGCCGTGGTGTTGCCTTATTGCTTAGCTTGGTTTTATTTTGCAAATAATTCAGCTCCTTTTAAAGCAGGAAACGTTAGTTTGATTTTCTGCTATTTTCTCGGATCCACATTAAGAGGGATGCTCTATGGTGGGAGGCCCTGGGAGCCGGGGACCACGGAGTGGCTGCAGCGGGTCCTTCGGTTCCTTCTCAACATCGGGTTCGCTCTTTTTTGTTTTCAATCTAGTGGCCGAGCAGGCGGAATCCATCGACAATCCATTGCATGAAGCTGCAAAAAGAGGTAGGTGTGGTTGTGTTTCATTGAGGGACACAGTGGAGTCAAGCACACAGATTCTGATTACACAGTTTGATGACTTTTGATTCGTGTATATACCCACATAACGGACACCTAGATCAAGATCTAGCACATTTCTGTTGTCCCAGCAAGTTCCCATTTCCTGGTAAACACCCCCGCCTGAGAGGCAGTCTCTCTCTCTCTCTTTTTTTTTTTTATTGGAGTTTGATTTGCCAACATACAGCATAATACCCAGTGCTCATCCCGTCAATTGCCCCCCTCCGTGCCCGTCACCCAGTCACCCCAACCCCCCGCCCACCTCCCCTTCTACCACTCCTTGTTTGTTTCCCAGAGTTAGGAGTCTGAGAGGCAATCTCTGTTCTGCCTTCTATCACCCTAGAGAGATAAAATGTTATTTAAAAAATTGGGGCGGGGGGAGCACCCGGGTGGCTCAGTGGTTGAGCATCTGCTTGGGCTCAGGGTCGTGATCCGGGGTTCTGGGATTGAGTCCTGCATAAGGCTCCCTGCAGGGAGCCTGCTTCCCCCTCTGCCTGTGTCTCTGCCTCTCTGTGTGTGTGTCTCATGAATAAATAAATAAAATGTTTTTTAAAAATATAAATAAAATTAAAAAAAAATTTCCTTCAGTAATCTCAACACAGTGTGGGTCTTGAAACCACAACCCTGGGATCAAGAGTCAGTCCAATGAGCCAGGCAGGCTGATTTTCATTTTTTTTTAAAGATTTTATTTATTCATGAGAAAGAGAGAGAGAGAGAGAGAGAGAGAGGCAGAGATACAGGCAAAGTGAGAAACAGGCTTCATGCAGGGAGCCCGACGTGGGACTCGACCCATGGTCTCCAGGATCACACCCTGGATTTGATTGAAGGCAGCACTAAACTGTTGAGCCACCCGGGCTGCCCTGATTTTCATTTTTGAAATGTCAGCCACCAACACTTTTGAGTCCTTTACTTAGCCTGTGCTCAGTGGCAGGTGGAAAGGTGTTGTCTGTGACTCCCTGAGCTCCAAGTCTGGCGGGGGAGAGATGTGTGTAACAGATCATTACAGGATGGTGTCAGAAGAACAGCAACTGAAGTCTGTTTAAGTTAAGCAGGCTGTAGAGGCTGCAATGAGGAACTGGAAGGCAGGAGGGTGGAGCCTTCTTGTGGGTGTAGCATTTAGGAGAGTGTTGTAGTAATGCAAGTGAGTGGGATGCGGGTGAAACTGCGGAGGGAGAGAGCAACAGGGACCGGCCTTGTACATGGGACTTTATCCTGTACATTAGTGGTTTTCCACCGGGGGTAATTCCTCCTTCAAACCCTGGGATATTTGGCAGTGCCTGGAGACACTTTGACTGTCATGACTTGGGGATGCTACTGGCACCTTTTGGGTTGTAAATGCTGGGGACATACAATGGTACCCAGGTCTGCCCCGCAACAAAGAATTCTTCAGCCCTGCTGCTGCCAATAGGGCTGCTGTTGAGAAACCCTACTATGGACACAGGGAGTTTTTATAAGGCCTCAAGGAGGTCTCTTTCATTCTATTCCAGATCTTTTTGAAACATGAATGTGCAAAAGGAAACTACTGGTTGAGAATTGTGCATAAGTAGAACTACTAAGCTGACATTTAAAAAACTAATATTTTTCTGTATGTTAAATAACTGGAATTTAAATAAAGACTTGAAACTAAAAAACAAAGTGATTTGTGAACTAGATATTTAGACATTAGCCAGAGGGTTTTATTTATTTTTTTTAAATTTTTTTATTTATTTATGATAGTCACATACAGAGAGAGAGAGAGAGAGAGAGAGGCAGAGACACAAGCAGAGGGAGAAGCGGGCTCCATGCACCGGGAGCCCGACGTGGGACTCGATCCCGGGTCTCCAGGATCGCGCCCTGGGCCAAAGGCAGGCTCTAAACCGCTGTGCCACCCTGGGATCCCAGCCAGAGGGTTTTAAATTGGTAGTTACATTTTAACATATGAGGAAGTTATTTAGTGTTTATTTCCTTATTTTCTTATAAGATCTGAAAATACATTTTAATATGAAAATGAGTAGTATCTACTTGTTCTTAGGTTTGACTCTTTTTTCCCTAATTTCCAGGATTTCACAAAGGAAAAAGTTCCATGTATGTGCATTATACAGAGTAAGACAACCATAAGTAGGCTCATTTAGGCAACTCTTCCCTTTAACTGACCATTAGAGACTGATGTTGTACAAGCCACAGAGCTTACTTGTATCTCGTCAGTGACATACACAGTGATCAGCTGTATGTGGGCCAGGCCGTGGATACCATAGACTGAATGTTTCCATTTGCTCAAGGTTCAGATATTGAAAGCTAACCCCAGATCAGTGGTGTTTGGAGGTGATTAGCTTATGAGGGCTCTGCCCTCATGAATAGAACCAGTAGAGACCCGGGAGAGCTCTCCTGCTCTTTCTGTCCAGGGGGTGGAAACAGTGTCTGTGAACTGGGAAGCAGGCTCTTACCAGGCATTGAATCTGCTGGCGCCTTGATTCTGGACTTGCCAGAACTGTGACGAATAATTCTTCCCCTCCACCGGCCTCCTCCACCCCCACTCCAAGTTGTTGTTAATGCTTTTCATTAATAAACTGGAAGTGAAAATGCACCATAATGAATGCATTACTGGGCAGGTCTTAATTTCAGACTTGCTGACTAATCCATTCTAGATGGAAATTTATAGAGGGTGAAATTGATTTAAAAGCAAAACCAAAACAACAACAACAAAAAAACCCAAGCCCTTTTTCTTGTGTTCTTATAAATGCATGATGTTTTCAGGCAACCTGAGCTGGTTGAGAGAATGTCTGGACAACCGAGTCGGCGTTAATGGCTTAGACAAAGCTGGAAGTACTGCCCTGTACTGGGCCTGCCATGGGGGGCATAAAGGTACTGCCTTCTGTTTGCTATCTCATCAATGTCCACGCTACTGAAAATGTGCTTCACGCAGAGGAGCTGGAGTTATGGAAATGAAAAGAAATTATTCTGCTTAAATCCTTTAGAACATTGGCCAAAAGCCTTGTTCCTGGAAGGTCTGTGAAACAGTAGGTAGAATGCTTACTGCATGGACCTCTCTCACTTGAAAGACTGGAAACTTCACTTCCTCTCTCAGGCTTGGAAGGGTTAGAGAAAAACAATAGTCATGTAAAAACAAATCCCACAATCTAATCTTACAAAAAGAAAGAAAGGGGCAAAAGTGACCCTTCTACTTAGTTTTTCCCAAGATACGCTTGCACAATTTATATTCTAAGTTGAATGCATGCTGGTGGATTCCAGGGAAAGACAGCATTTGCTTAAGTTAATGATGGAGTTGGTGACCTTCTCAGTTATAATCAATATGAGAGTGGAATTTCTGGGTCTGTTTCAGCCCGACCAAAAAAAATCTGCCACACCTGCTCTCTTTCTCCCTCTCCCAACAACAACAACAACAACAACATCACACACACACACACACACACACACACACACACACACAATAAACAAAACGATCAGAAACAGAGCACCCAGCAGATTAAATAGCATAGCTAACGGAAAGTTGATGGCTGTTTCCCAAAGAAGCCGATCTTATGTTAGCTGATAAACGCACATTAGTTAAATGAATATACAGTATCATCATGAACAGTGAACATAGAGATATTTCTACAATGGTTGCCATGTCAAAATGTGAAAGCCAAATTATTTGAAAACAACTATTCCCTACATAATTCTACTTTTTACATTCTTAAGTCTTGTATTTACATATATTTAAAAAATTTTATTAGAATTTTCTTGATTCTTCTAAAGAATCCTCTTGTTTGAAGCTGTTGTGCCTCATTTTGTCAGCCTTTTCCTTTTCATTCTTAAAAAATATCTTTCCTGTTTGATTTTCAGACATAGTGGAAATGCTGTTTACTCAACCAAACATTGAACTGAACCAACAGGTAAGATCAATTAGGCAGAAGTCTGTGGTCACATCACATACCTGCCTAATTCTCAGGGAGCAGCGTATGGGCATGCAAAGTCCTGTCTCTGTGTCTTGAACTGACACTGATTCCCATTCAGTATCTTTCATACAATTTTTAACCAAAACACTACAAACGCACAGTTAAAAAGTTACTGTTGCACCGAAATCCAAATTATATAAAGCCCCAAATGCCTACCATACTTCTTCTTTCTCACTTACTACTTTGGGTTATTGGCTCTCTCGTCTTGCCTTCATGTTACTAAGGAAGATGCTTATGGAGCTGTCCCCTAGGTCATCTTCATAAATGTTTCGGTGTCCTGTCTGAAGGCATAAGCTTATTGATTGCCCCTACTGTGATATCCCAGCACCCAAGCTTTGTTCCTCTGATTGTCCCCTACATATCATATCATAGTTTCTGGTTATCTTACCCTACAATGGCTTACAAATATTAGGGCTATTTAAATATTGCTCACTGCTTGTGTCACTTTTGTTTCTGTACTTAGTGGCTTTTATTTAGCTGATTTTGGGTTTTGTGTCTCACTAGACACTTCCACACTGTTTGCCGTTCTCTTGATATACTTTTTCCAAAATGTTTAAGATAACTGCTTTCTTCCTCACCCCCCCCCCCCCAACCCCCTGAATGGTACTGGTACTTCCAAAGCCCTCATTCTCATTCTCTGATCTGAGTGGCTTGGTCTCTGCTGCCTTTGCTCCCTTCCTGTGGGAAGCCTTACTTTCATCTCCTTCCTGTGGTGTGTCTCCACTTTTCTGGATCCTGTACATTGCCTTCCTTTTGTTGTAGAACATCTCCAAGTAGATTGCTAAGAAAGGGGACCTAGGGGATGATTATTTGGCTGACAGAATTCAAGGTTGAAAATGATTTCCCTTAGAATTTTGCAGGTAGGGCTCTAGGATGTTCAGTATTTAGAATTGCTTTTGAGAGATTTGATGCCATTTTGATTCCCATTCTTTTGTGTATGGTCTGCTTTTTCTCTTGCTCAGAATTTGTCACTCTGTCCATGGTGTTCTAGTATTTCACAACGATGTGCATTAGAGTTGGTCTCTTCCCGGTAATGATGGTGGACTCTTTCAAGCTGGAAAAATATTGTTTCTTGTTTCTTTTCTAATTTTTACTACCCATTGTCTTTGTTCTTTGGTTCTGGAATGCCCGTTAGTAGTTAGGTTGGACCTCTTACATTGAGCCTCCAGTTATTTTAGTTTTCCTCAGAGATTTTTTTACCTTTATGTTTTATCTTGGTTACTTTTTTTAATTCCTCAGTGTCCTCAGTGTCATGTAAGGTTTCTGTTGCTATGTAATGAAGAACCACAAACATAGCAGCTTAAAACAACACCCATTTGCCTATTTTCTGTAGACCAGAGTTCTGGGTGCTGAACAGGTGGGCTCTCTGCTCAGGGTCTCCCAGGCTGGAATAAAGGCATTAGCTGGATTGGGTTCTCATCTGGAGCTCAGATCCTATTCCAGGCTCACTCAGGTTGCTGGGAGGATTGAGTTTCTTTCTCCTGTAGTGCTGTGGACCTCAGCTTTCCGAGATCACCCCTCTCCATAGACATTTCACAACATGGTTGTTTGCTTTCTTCTTTAAGGCCCATAGGAGATTGTGTCTCTGACACTGTACCTTTGGGAAAAGGTCCACCTGCTTAGGTCAGGCCCACCTGGTATAAGCTCTCTTTTGATGAACTCAGTATCATCTGATTAGAAACCTAATTACGGGAGTGATATCCTATTTTTTTTAAGATTTTATTTATTTATTCATGAGAGAGAGAGAGAGGCAGAGACACAGGCAGAGGGAGAAGCAGGCTCCATGCCGGGAGCCCAACGTGGGACTCGATCCTGGGACTCCAGGATCGTGCCCTGGGTCAAAGGCAGGTGCTAAACCGCTGAGGCACCCCGGGATCCCCAGTGATATCCTATTATATTAATTAGTCTCACCCATACTCAAGGTGGAGGAATTCGACGGGGTGGATCCCAGGGGGCAGGGATCTCGGGCACCATCTTAGAGTTCTGTCTGCTATAAGCTCTTTCTTTTACTCTGATTATTACTTTTAGGTAGCATCTTTTCTTGTTCCATTGTGCTCTTTCATGTTATATCTCAGATATGTTAATTACAGCTTTTTAAAATGTTTTCTGCCATTCACTGTACTGTGTTTTTTCCCTCAGAGATCCATTAACTTTGTCTTGATCTTTTCTCAAATAATGGAGGCTTTCCTCAAATACCTAGTATCTTTGTCCATTCACAATGGAAGTATGGTGGAAATTGTGCATGCTTATGGGGCTTACCGACTGTTGCGGTTTCTATAGGGTGAAGTAAGGTCCTGGCTGTTTGGGTGATACCCAGATGAGTATGAGTACCCTCTCCCTCTTCCACATGGGGAGCTATTTGGCAGCACCAGAGAACTGTTTTTGAGCCTCCTGCCTGGGCATAGATGCTAGACTGCACACACTGGGGCAGTGGGGCAGGTAAAGGCTGCTTGCTGCTCAGTCTGTAAGTTTCCAGGCTCACCCACTACTTTTAGCTCCTGGCCTTGCTGCCACCTTCCCTTATAGCTCTGAGTTCATGAGCTTGGAGACAAGCCAGTTCATTTTTCTCAGGATAATGCTGCCATCTGCACTGGGTCACCTGGCAGCAAGGAGAGAGGAAGGTGATCTAATTACTTTCATAAACACTTTCACCTAGTACTCTTGTTTTCACTCCCACACCTCATGCCTGCTCCGGCGTCTCCAGGGATCCCTAATTCCTAATTCATGCTAGCTTTCTGCAGGGATAGATCTGCTTGCTTCCTCCTGTTGTCTCCCTGTGCAGGCATCTGCATTTCCACTGGTTCTCTGCCAAGTTGGTTTCTAATCCTCAGAGATTTTCCTATTCCCTCACCCCAAATGACTCTTCTGTCGTCTCTTGAGTCTCCTTTCTTGCTTTGGGATTTTACATGATTTCTTAAGTTGTTTTCATTGTAGGTTTACTTAGAGTAAACCTAAATTCATGCATATTATCAATCCAGTCTTATTTTAAAAAAATGCTTCTTTCTCTTTTTAAATCACCGTAGAACAAGTTGGGAGACACAGCTTTGCATGCTGCTGCCTGGAAGGGTTATGCAGATATTGTCCAGTTGCTTCTGGAGAAAGGTAAAGCATGTGCCCAGTTTATCTGGCCTTTACTTACCCTAGAAAAACAGGCTACATTCATTTATATTATTTGAAATAGTAGGAAGAATAACAGGCTTTGTATTTTGAAAATGGGATTTTAATGTCCACTGTGTTTGTATCATAGAGTTGTTACAATAAGATGAAACTACGGTATTTGGGGTGATTTGTGTTAAGTTTTTAGTTTTATTTTTTATTTTTATTTATTTTTAAGTTTTTAGTTTTAAATTAAAAGTTTGGTAAGCTTTAAGATTACATATGTTACTTTCAGTATGAGTTTATTGTATATTTCTGCAAGATTAAAGGGCCTTAGAAGAAAGGCATGCGTGTATATGTGCAAGTGTGTGCACACGCGTGCAGAGAAGATCCTATCTCAGAAGGCTGTATGGGTAAAAGTTGCTGAGGTCGCTATTCACACAGAAAAGTTTCAATAGAGAAGAAAGAAAGCTGTGATTATAATGTCCTCCTTTGAGCCGAGCAGGTACTAGATATAGGAAGAATGAGAAGATACCTTGATTCTCTATTTTTGTACAAGTCAGAGGGGACTGAAATTATGGACCATCCATCCATCCATCCATCCATCCATCCATCCATCCATCCATCCATCCATTTGTCCTGCAAATATTAATGAACACTTATGGAGGGCCAGGCATATCCCCCATACCGTACCCTGGTCTAGAAGGCTATAACATAAGTTGTTTGATTCTTGAGGTCTCATAAGGGTGCACTGTCATTAGGGATCTTTGAGCAGTGTTATGAGATACATGAGAGGAAGTGTTATTGATTTAAAGTATGTGGATGAGGGATCCCTGGGTGGCGCAGCGGTTTGGCGCCTGCCTTTGGCCCAGGGCGCGATCCTAGAGACCTGGGATCGAATCCCACGTCGGGCTCCTGGTGAATGGAGCCTGCTTCTCCCTCTGCCTATGTCTCTGCCTCTCTCTCTCTGTGTGTGTGTGTGTGACTATCATAAATAAATAAAAATTTAAAAAAATAAAAAAAATAAAAAAAAAGTATGTGGATGATATAAACCTCAAGTATAAAAGAAGACACAGCATGGGGATCACTCTAGTGCCCCCTCAAGATTATGCTGAGAACTGTGTCATCTGTGCGGGCAGCCACTAAACCGCTCCTGCTGCTGAGACCTTGAAATGAGCCTAGTCTCACCTGAGATGTGCTATAAGTGTAAAATGTACATCAGATGTCAAAGACTTAGTGAAAAAAGATGTAAAGCATCACAGTTTATGTTGGTTGTATGACAGAGCGGTACCACTGTGGATACGCTGGATTAAAGAAAATATATTATTAAAATGAATTCCAGTTTTCGAAAATGTGGCCACTAGAACGTTTAAAATGACATATATGGCTCACATTGTGTTTCTCTTGGGTAGCACGAGTTGAGAGGGACACAGGAAATGATTGTTTCTTCTCTTGCATTGCTGGCTCTGAACATTTCCTGTCCTGGCAGAAATCACATATATGAGTTCTAAAGTGTAATTTAATGTAAGATATGATTAGTTACAAAACCCTTAACAAAACTCTTAACCCTCAGGGATCTTTTTTTTTACCTGGAGCACAGTGAGAGAATGAGGTTTGATTGTTGTTGTTTTTTTTAATTTTCTTTTAAATTTTTATTTATTTATGATAGTCACACAGAGAGCGAGAGAGAGAGAGGCAGAGACATAGGCAGAGGGAGAAGCAGGCTCCATGCACCGGGAGCCCAACGTGGGATTCGATCCCGGGTCTCCAGGATCGCGCCCTGGGCCAAAGGCAGGCGCCAAACTGCTGCGCCACCCAGGGATCCCGGTTTGATTGTTTTTTTAATATTTTATTTATTTATTTGAGAGAGAGAGAGAAAGCAAAGAGAGAGAATGAATGGGAAGGAGAGGGAGAAGCAGGCTCTCCGCTGAGCAGGGAACCCAACACGACACACGACTCAATCCCAGGACCTTGGGATCATGACCTGAGCTGAAGACAGACTTTAACCCACTGAGCCATCCTGGCGCCCGAAGAATGAAGTTTCTATAGACCCTTAGCTACGAGTAGATCTAAATCTGCTCAGGAGGGAGATTTTTATACACAATCGCCATATTCCTAATTAAAGATGCCATACTTTCTTAACTCAGTATTTTTGTGCCTGTGAATTTCATTGCATTTATTTTTTGTTTATGGAAGAGGATGTGGTTACAGAGAAAATGGCACTCTCATATATTGTGGCAGGGGGTGTAAATTGGTAAAGCCTTCTTGAAAAGCAATCTGACAATAGTTAGGAGAATTAAAAATGTACATATCCTTTCATTCCAGCATCACTTCTAGAAAACTTCAGAAAGATGCTGTTCAAGGAGGTTTACAATATGGTTTGTGATAAAGGAACAGCTTCAGTGCTCCTCAGTAGGGGGGTGGTTAAGTAAATTTTGCATTGTCCACAATGTTGAATACTTACAGATATTTAAATAGATGGAATTATAAGGATATGTACCATGAGGGAATGAGTACCAGTATGGATTTGTTGGGTTAAAAAAAATCAATTTACAGACCAAAGTATGTGATACAACTATGTATGTATATGCATATATACATGCATCTGTGAATGCATTCATGCACCTAAGGAGATAGGATTGATGCCCATTTGCTGGGAATGGCTTCCTGTGGACAAGCGGGAAGAAGGGAAGGAAGGGTGAGTTAGGGGATGAAATGGGACATATGCTTCTGTTCAGCATACTTCTATATTTTTGAATCTTTATCAATGAAAATGCACTCATGAATTCTGATGTAATTTTTACCACAGTGAAGACAAGGGGGAAAAAAAGCAAATGAAGATGGGGCTGCAGGAACCATGGATTGCCTCTAGGTTTTATTGTGTTACTCTTCTGCTAATTTGCACAGGAGTATACTTACAGATATAAAATATTAATCCTCTCAGGCGTAACCCACGTGGTCTTTTCTCAAGAAGCAAAGGTTGTAGTAAATTTAATCTCCAAAAATTGGTGCCAAGACACATTGGAGTCTAATTGACTTAAGATTCACCTTGGGGATAGTAAGCTCCCTGCTAAAAAGTCACATGCAGTATTCTGAGGACTTGAAAGGAGAGGCTATATTTTAATTGTGCCCAATTAATTATCAGGAGTGCTGCTGCAAGCTCCCTGATTCAAGATGCCAAATGTGCTTTTACTGTTCTGAAAAAGCTTACTTTGGGGCCAGAATGGTTCTCTAGTAAGTTTGGCCAAAAGTTATTAGTTTTGGTGGAAAGAAGATTGCTATTCGAGGTTCTTTAGAAACACCTGATGTGGTTTTCTTGTTTTGGGGGTAAGGTGCAAGAACAGACTTAAGAAACAACGAGAAGAAGCTGGCCCTGGACATGGCTACAAATGCCGCCTGTGCATCTCTCCTGAAAAAGAAACAGGGGACAGGTATTTGGTTTCAATCCTTTTTCCTCTGGGTGCCATCATGACCAAGGATTATTATCTTAGAACTGAACACAAATGCTTCTTGGTAAACTCTTTGTGTGGTTCTAAAGTTAGGTTTTATCTCCTTGGTCTAATTTGGAACGTTCACCATAGAAGTAACTTTCATGCACACAAGTTGAAGAGACATCAACATTTTAGTATTTTATATATGTTTCCTTTGTACCTTACAATCAAATTGTAATCACCTTGGTTTCCATTAGAGTTCTTATCAGAGAGCCATGGTCTCCATATCCTCATTTCCTAGGTTCTTATGAGTGGTTACCTCTAAATATTTTTTCAATTAAGCACTGAAGGGCTCCGTGATTATATTTGGTTTCTATTTTAATTGAGAATATCAGTAAACTGTAATCAGAATTATTCTAGACTTGGTAAACAGTTTGATGATTATTTATAGGCTGGGGTGGTTTTTAAAGGCAAAGTTTAGGTCTACATTCTTAGAGACAAAAATATCTGTTGGTGTGGGAGAATAGTTCTGAAAGAAAAAAATTAAAGGTTTGTGTGGTTGTTTTTGAAAAGGTGTTAAAGAAAAGGTGTAAAACGCATTTGCATCCTTCGTGGTTACTATTCAGAGATTGGCCATTTATTGAACCTCTCAGTACATAACTCAGTACTTAACCCCCTTTAAGCTTTCTTCTCATTCCTCTCTCTGGTCTCTCCCTTTTCTTTTCTTTCTTTTCGATTCGATTCGATTCGATTCTATTCTATTCTATTCTATTCTATTCTATTCTATTCTATTTCTCTTTCTTTTTTTAAAGATTTTATTTATCCATGAGAGACACACAGGGAGAGGCAGAGACACAGGTGGAGGGAGAAGCAGGCTCCCTCCAGGGAACCCAATGTGTGACTCATCCCAGGACCCCGGGATCATGACCTGAGCCGGAGGCAGACGCTCAACCACTGAGCCACCCAGGCGTCCCTGGTCTCTCCCTTTCATCCACTATCAGCCTCCTGGCCCATAGGAACCCAGAGGTAGAAAAAAGAAAAGTAAAAGATGATTTGGTTGGAAGGCACATTCAGTCTCCCCGCCCCCCCACCCCTCACTTCTCAAGCCTTATTCTACTTTTATCTTATGTTTGGCACTCTAATCTCACTTTGAAGAATAAGCCAATGATTGATACATCTTTTCCACCATTTTCTAGACTGGAACCACTATAATGGAGAATTCAATTTTCACAAGTCTTTATTTAGCATTGCTACTCATCATTCCAACCCTTTTTAGTATTGCGTTAGAGTCTAAAGTTTAGACCAATCCGTGTTGGTGGAGAATCACCAAAACAACTTTTGAGACATTTCCAGTATAGAGAGGCTAAGTGCATTTGTTTCTATATTAATATCACTCTCAGAGTTCTGAACTTGTGTAATGAGATACTGATTTTTGTTTTCATCATTTGAATCACGCTCCCATTAATTTTTGAACCCTTGGAAAGCTTTTCTCTTCCTTAACTGAGTACCCTTTGTTTTATGAAAAGAGGCAATGTTATCTTGCCCCATAGCCCAATTCCAGCAGAGGCAACAAAATAAAGTCAGTCTTCTGTTTCCTGCTTTAGTCAATCAAAAATAGCAAACAGTCCCCCTCTCTTCATGACTCACCAAGGGAGCTTCCCAGAATTATCCTCCATGTCCATCACCAAATTCTCATCTTAGCCTTCCTCACGAATCTGCTTTTCCTTTGATTCTTTACCCAAGGTAGGTATTTATTTTAGATTTTTATTTCTTTTAGCTTCAGTTCAGATAGAGTGTAAACCATTAAACCATTAAGCCGCTTGGGTTCCTTAACTGTTTAAGCTGTGAATGCTCCTGGCAGAGCTGGTGTTTCTTTCTTTTTTTTTTTTTTTTTTTAGAGCTGGTGTTTCTTGAAAGTATTTACTCATGCACAGGTGGATTGAGGGTCTGCTAAGTGAGTGAGAAAGTACTTATCAGCTGAGTGGTGCTCCCCATCAATCCTACATTTTGATTGAGAAGCCATATATGCAGATCTGAGGGAGTGATACCTCTACTAGGCATGTACCTTCTCCTGCTTGCTGCCTTGGTTGGTTCAGGAAGTTGGACTATGGCCTAACTTCCTTTTTCTGCCACTGACTTCCTGGTGCTATGTGGGTACTTTCAGAATGCCCTAACTGTGGAGTAAGACTTCTTATGAGCTACAGATTATCAGACTCTCATGGGTACTATAAGCTTGATTGTGATAGACAAGGAAAATACCACAGTTGCTTCGGACCCCAGAGAGCTGGACCTAGAAGCCTCCATGTGAGCAGCAGGAGCTGGGGCAGGCAGGTGGCAAACTGCTCCCCCCCCCGACCTTTCTGCAGTCTTTGTAGAATAGGATTGGGAGGCAGTTCTCTTTTTCTCTGTTCACGCCAAGTGTCTTTAGTCTACTTTCCTAAATTCGTATTGATTTAATAATGGACCCATTCATTAACGAGGTAATCTGGGGGCCTGGCACACAGAGCCAAGAAATGAATTTTCATAATTCAGTTTTCACATTACCTCTTCTTGTCTTTTTTTCTTGCTTCATGCCTGCAATCATCCAGTAAAAAGTTTCAATTTGTATTGTGATCCCAGTTGGAATTGGAGTTGAGTATTGGGCTATGTATAGCTAATTGCCAGCACAAACTCTGCCCTGGAAAAAGTATATTCTGATGTTGCCCACCTTTAAAAGTACACCTTTTTTTTTTAAGATTTTATTTATTTATTCATGAGAAACACACAGAGAGAGGCAGAGACATACATAGGCAGAGGGAGAAGCAGGCTCCCTGTGAGGAGCCTGATGTGGGACTCCATCCTAGGACCTCGGGATCTCGACCTAAGCCAAAGGCAGACACTCAACCACTGAGCCACCCAGGCATCCCTCGGATTTTTGATAGAGAAAAAATAAGTCATATTTTGTGTTACCTTGAAGGGTAACTTGGGGATATAAGTGTGGGGCCAGGGTTCAGCCCCACCTTCAACTCTTTAAATCCTTTTTTCCAGATTTTACAAATTGGGGTATACTTTATATTAAGTAAACATATAAATCCTAAGTTTATCATCTTGCTTTTTCTTTTCTTTTCTTTTCTTTTCTTTTCTTTTCTTTTCTTTTCTTTTCCTTTCTTTTCTTTTTCTTTTTCTTTTTCTTTTTCTTTTTCTTTTTCTTTTTTTTTAATCTGTGCTTGTACCTGTTTGCCACAACTCAGATCAAGGTAGATCCATACTCCAGAAGCCCCTCTCCATATCTTCCCCTTCTCTCACCATAGACCGGTTTTGCCTATGCTTGAACTTGATATTAATGGAATAAAACAGTATGTACTTTTTCTAAAAAGATTTTATTTATTTATTTAGAGAGCAAGAGAGCATGTGAGAGAGCGAGCACGTGGGGGCGGGGTGGGACAGAGGGAGAGGGAGAAGCAGACTCCCACTGAGCAGGGAGCCCCACATGGGGCCAGCATGTACTTTCTTGAGTCTGACTTCTTTTCACTTAATATGGAATGCTATGTCTATGAGATATTTCTAGGTTTCTGTGTCTGCCTTTCCACTATTTATCATTCGTTTAACTGCTGGTGCTTGATTTGGAATGTGCCAATTGAGGTCAGTGACACTGAGAAATGGAAGTGAGGTAGGGAGAAGGGGATGCACTGCTAGGAGATACATTACCATGTGATGGCCGCCACCCAAGATGGGTTGTGAAGAGAGATAGCTCCTCAGATCTTGGCCACATGAGAGGTTTCCAGAGAAACTACTTGAGAGCAAGCAATCCATGAAAGGAATGAAGGTGAAAGAATTTATTTGCCTGGTTCACACCTGTCTCATGACTTCTTATCAGTAAAGTTTGCACCATGGTGAGCCATCTTCTGCTAACAGGATAAACGAGCTTGAAATAAAGGGCAGAAGTAACCATTGAAGGAAAAAAACATCTCAAATGGGCAAAACATAGGATTGTAGCAGCAGAGTAGGGTAGGAAAGAGCTTTGTTATTATCTTTTGGTCTTTAGCTTGAAAAAGTGCTTTTCCCAAGTTTACAGTGAGTCACGAAGTTGGTGTGTGTGTGGATCCAACAAAGTATATTCCACCCAGATCTCCAGAACTTCTGATTAAGGAGGATGGAGACGAATACAGACAACCTGTAGAATTCTAGTAGTTTGGAAGCTGGTGTGAAATCATTGAATTTTGCCTCTGTCCGGCTTATATCTGCTTGTTTTTTCATCTTTCCTTCTTACAAAAAAATAAATCTGTCTCTACCTCCTTTGTACCAGCTCTCTCCTGTCCCTTCCTTTTTCTCAATATTTTCCTAAATTTGTAAAGAAAATGAGTGAAAAAAAACTACAGTATCATTAGCATACCTAAAATTAATAATTCCTTCATATCATTGTATAACCTTGACATTGTCTAACATTTGCCATACACATTTGTTTATACTTTGTTTACTTAATAATCTGTTTGCTTAATTTGTTTATAGTTGAAGTCAGGGTCTGAAGAAAATCAGGCTCTTAGTGGGAGATATGTCTCTTAAATCATCTTTTCTCCCTCTTTTGTTAGCCTGGCAATTACTTATTAAGGAAGCTGGGTCAGTTTTCCTGACTTTCCCAGTCTAGACATTGCATATACGCACCCTCTGGTGTTGTTTGTCATGTTCCTCTCTCCTCTGTATTTTTGTCAACTGGTGTTAAATCTCGATTAGATTTTACATTTTATCTGTCTAAGGGGTAGAGGGAATAATACGTCATGAAGAAAGCTGTGTTGTTTCATCAGAGGCACATAATATCTATTGCTTGTCCTCTGACGTTAGCATTCATTGATGATCATTGTGTAGATCCATTGTTTCACCAACAGTTGTAAAACAAGTGATACTCAAATTCTGTCATTCCTTTCTCAGTTATCAGATGGGACATTCTATAAAAAAAAATTTCTTCATCCATGGTTTGATTACTCAGAGTTAATAGTTTATGGAGTAGGGGCAGAAATAGAGGCTTGATTTTTGTCTTTGTTAGTGAGTTTTTGAAATAAGGTACTGATTCCCTATTGTTCTCTAAAGAGGACTAGTGAATTCTCTTTGCTGTGTGTTGAAATATTTGCTGTGTTGCAATCCACTGTATTTAGTACCCTTACTGATAGCTCCTCTTTGGCTAGTGGAGGAGGTCCCTTCAGGTTGGATCTTGAATCTTTTTAATATGACGTTCTCTTTGATGGCGCCCTTGTTGTATGGCATGACGAACGGTTCCACTTAGCATCTTTTACATTTTTGTGCCCCAGACTTGGCATCAGTCATGTCTCCAGTAAGTGTGGGGAGATAGTATTTAGAGACCATGATAACATACATTTTTGAGCTCTAGCAGTGGTTCTCCTTGCATTTCAATTTTCCACCTAAAATTATACCTCGTTGTAACCTGTTGCTTTATAAGCATTTAACTAGACAGTTGAAGAGGTGAGCAGTTAAAGATCAGATAACCCTGTTCAAGCCTGATTTAACATATGGTGGGGTTTGGTTCTTTCTATTTCAAACATACATACATACATACATACATTTATTTATTTCATTCTTTTGCTCCTGAGCCTACTTTATCTGTGCTTTTAAAAATAAAAGTGAAGCTGCTTTTTCCTTTTCCTTTTTTCATTCTCTTCCTTTTCCTTTTTTCCCTTCATTAGTTATCTTTCTGCCCAGTGACATTGCCTTCAGGTAAGGCCACAGACTGTCGTCTGTCTGACCAAAGCCATGTGTATGCACTTGTCATTGGGAGAGGAGGTTGGAAGTACAGTTGTCAGAGTGAAGGGGCTTCCTGTGTGTTCCATGCTGACCATGGTGCATGTTGCTGGTTGCATTTTGGGCGAGATAGATTCATGGTACCTTAGCACTATGTGCTTTATTTTTTCGCATGTCTAAAGAAAGTGCAGGGAGCTGTATTTGTCAACCTCTCTGGCAGCAAAAATTGAGCAGTTAGGCAGGAAAGCAAAAGTTGAAAAAGATCTGCGGGGGATGTACAGTCTCTGGGTCTGAGGAAAGATTACAGTTTCTTGAGCTATCAGGAGCTTTGAAAGTGAAAAATATCTGAGCAATTTGTAATTTCTCTGTTTTGTTTTTCCCCCATTCTACTTAGATGCTGTTCGAACATTAAGCAATGCCGAGGAGTATCTTGATGATGAAGACTCAGATTAATTCCCTTCTGGAGCTTTGAGATTAAAACTTCTGTTGCTTTTGCATTCCAAAACCTTTGTCTTTGCCAGAAGAGTGTTGGTAACTGTTTGGTTTTGTTTGGTTTTGTTTTTAAAGTCTATATGAATATGGAAGTATTGCACTATGTTTGAATAGACCGTGTAAATGGGTAGGTTTTCACCTTCAGTTTGCCAATAAGTGACTGGATACTTTGCTGTATAAAGTATGTTTTTGTTCACCAGAGTAGAACAAGAAGAGATTATTTCTATTTATCAAGTTAAAGGAATTTTAAGAATTTTTTTCTTTAAAAAAATCAGAATTTTTTTGTTTTGTTTTCTTAAAGTTCTTTACCTCAAGGATTGAAATATTTTGAATGGATTTTTCAAGGGGGAAACGCTTGTTAAAATAATGAACCAAAAGACTTAGAAAATCGTCAGCTGTTCTGACAAAAATAAACATTTTAAGAGACTGTATTTCCTTTGTCTGTTTTTGTGGTATCAGTATTTGCTGGTAAATAAAGCTTTTTATATTTATATTTAGGTAAAGGCTGATTTTATTTTTTAAGTCATGTTTCACATTTGTTAGCACAAAGGAATCGTAATAGCCAAATTTCTGCTCACTGTATATATTTGCTTTGATTAAACTCAAGATAATAATCATTGAGAAGATATATTTATAATAATATGTATAACATTAGTAATTATTAGACTTTCAGTGGTATTTCTCAGGTTATACTTAGTATGAAGAAATCCAGCAACTCATTACAGTTTGCTTGTGGTCTGAAAAATTTTAAAAAATTGATTTTCTTATCATGGAAGATGTCAACATTTTCTGTAATGGAGTAGCCAAGAGCTATGACATTTTTTGTGTTCGGCTTTTCACTTTGATAGCATTTGTTTTCCCAGAGTGTGGCTCTAGCTCATAACAATTCAGATTCTTTGGCTAAAACATCAATTAATATTGCAGGGAGCCTTCTGTACCCCTGAAGTGACACTTGATTTGAGATTCCAATTCTAATTTTGTCATCACTGTTGGTATTTGCCTAGATTCCAGGCCCTCGGCCCAGAACCATATTTTGCAAGGACGTCGATGCAGATAGATTTCAAAAAACACGTTGGTGCAGAGAAGGAAATGTTTGAAGAAGGAAGTGGGTTAGCTCAGGAAATGAATAACTGCCACTCTGAGAGCTTTCTGTCTGTGACTGTTTGGGTTTTTTCTCTGTGGGTGCCTTGAGGAAGGGTATCCTGAGAAGTATGTTTGAGGTCTTTCTAGTACCCCATCCAAATTTTAATAAAAGGAAATCTGTATAATAGTGACAGCAGAGGATGAGCACAAAGTTTGAAATTAATGCAAGAGGGTATTTTATCCTCAACATAACTGTGTTTACTAAACTTGAGTTAAGCATATATATTTCTTCATAAGCATAAATTTGAAGATATGAAATCCTTGTAGAAATTGTATCTGTTCCCAAAGAACTTTTAGGGATTCATTCTTTATTTAAAAAGAAAATTTTTATTTATTAAATTTTTTTTTTTATTTCTTTATTTAAAAAAAATTTTTTAAGAGGGAGAGAGCATGAGTGGGGGCAGGGAGGAGCAGAGGGAGAGAGAGAATCTTAAGCAGGCTCCATGCTCAGTGCAGAGCCCGACATGGGTCTCGATCTTAGAATCCTGAGATCATGACCTGAGTCGAAATCAAGAGTCATATGCCCTGCTAACTGAGCCACACAGGTGCCCCTAACGATTTATTCTTTAAAATGGGGTTTTTGTGGGGCTCCTGGCTGGCTTAGTTGGAAGACTGTGACTCTTATTAATCTCGGGATTGTGAGTTTGAGCCCCACATTGAGTGTTGAGATTGCTTAAAAATAAAATCTTTAAAATGAAATGATAAAATAACATAACATAAAATGTGGGGGTTGTGCCTTAACAAAAAGCTTTTGGAAATCTCTGACTTTTTTGTTCTTGTGTACTTTGGGCCTTGGATGATTAGGATAGATGCCAACTAAACACTTTTAATTTTTTAAACATAGATGGAGATTCAGTTTGCATGAGTATAGATGATTTTTATGAAAATGCCCTGTGCTTGATCTGGGCATATTTATTTATGTCTTTGAGGAAAAGAGTAGCAAGTGGCTTCACTGTCATTGCTTTTAACATTATGGAACTTAGGAAGATTCTAGAAAGTTGGCCAGCCAGAGTTTTTTGAGGGTGGAGAGTTGACTTAGGTATATGCATGAGTTGCTGGTGAAACAAAATTTGGTGAAACAAAAAAGGAGGTAGCATTTTGCTGTGGTTGAAACTTCATGGGAAAATCTGCTTTTTCTTTTCGTTTATTCAGCCTAGCTGATGGCCGCTTTTTCAAGGATGTTTAATGCTGAACTCAGCAACAAAAATCAGTTCTACAGTTCTAAGAACGTGTTACCCCTCTGATTCTGTGCAGAAGAGAGCTTTGATTATGTTCTGGAAATGACTGGAGGTTTTGCTGTAACCTGAGCTTTCTGACAGCCCCTGTGGCCTGAACTCCTTCCCAGTCCATTGTGTGCTTTAGATAGAAAATGGCTTCCAGCCTGTTGGGCAGTGAGATATACCAGCTTTCAGCCCAGTAGCCTCATGCAAACAATGGTTTTTATCAGTTTCCCATTTTAGTTTACTTTCTGGGACTGGTCTGCGGCAAATTATTTGTTGTTCGGCTGCCATGCTTTGCATTGTCAATTTGTTGATTTCTGTATTTCTCTGGTGAGCTTTCCCCACCCCATTGTTTTATTTTTTTTCAATAGAGTGGCCATGTTGTTCACTAAAGGGAAATGTTGAACAAAGTGGTAGTGACCTTTTTTTTTTCTTAATCTTAAAAAACAAATTGGAAATAGTGCTGCAAATGAAATCTCAGATAATTTTAGGCAGAGGAAAATAAAATCTTTCCATATAAGCCACCTTCATAAAGGTTCTTTATTATGTAGAATTTCTGATTTACTATTATTTCTTATTGTGAGCTCTGTGCTTCTCATCTTTGTGAGGGATGATTTATTTTCTGATAGGCTATATGGAGCCTAAAACTTATATCAGCATTTACCCTGTTGGCTTTGACTTTGTGCTTGCTCTCTCGAATTTTATGTTGTAAATATGTTTGTAGCAGTAATACATAGACAGCTATACATTGTGCAGCCAAACTTTGAAGTCTCTACTGAAAGTTGAGGTTTTGGTGGGAGAAGTATTGCAAAACATTCTGTTCTCCCTATTTTAACTGAAAATACAGCTTTGGTGAGATTTTCTTAAGTGAAGGAAAAATTGTAGACCACAAATTTCTGGTTGCTTTCCCCTTATTTCTTAATAACAAGCCTTTACATTGGCCCATCCCTTAAAATGACATAAAATTAAGTAAAACTACTATTTATTAAATGCCTACCCTGCCAGTTCCTATACCAGGCAGTTTCACAGACATGATGTCATTTGATCTTTACAGCAACCCAGGCGGTGAACATTAATGCCTCTATCTTTTTACAGAAAGGCTGAGGTTTGAAGAAGTTAAGTAGTGAGCTCAAGGTCACACTGCTTGAAGATGGAAGTGCAGGTCTGGCCAAGTCCTGAGCTAATGCAACTGCAGCCTACTGCATCTGGCAGAGGATGCCATTCACATTCAGCCAGAAACATATGCAGAAACAAACCAGCTCCTTTTCCAACTCAAGCCCTGGATGTGGCATCTAATAAATCCAGTATTTCTACTAATTTACTTAAATGTATTATTTAAACCAATTCTAAGAGCCTTTAAAAAAAAAAAAAAAAAAGGATTTTCCCCTATTTCCCCCCAGAAAAATTTTTTGCAGTTTTGGTTCCCAATAACCCTGAAGAAATATGATTTGATGAACAAGTTTCCAAATTCTCTTCTCTTTGCAATAACTATAAATGAGTGCAAAAGAAGGAAAGCCTTGATTAGCAACTAATTGCTTTGCTCTGAATTTGTATTGCTAACTTCAACATTTTCCTCAGATGGTCTGAGAGCTCCTCACATAGTTCCGTGTGATCATAAAACGAACTGTGTGCCTGGGAAGGGTTAGAGAATATTGTCTTACCCAAGTCTGGGAGTTTGCATGGGCATGTAGGATATCTCCTCCCACTTCCCACATAGTTCTGTTGTCTTCTGCAGTGGCCATCTGCCTGGGGCTCCTAGCAGGCTCAGCCTTCCACCTATACTTCATTCTTGCCAACTGGGGGCTGGGGTGAGGTCAGGTTCCTGGCTGTGGCTGAAACTGAAGAAATACAAAAGTATGAGTTAGCCTGAGAGGGAGCAGGAAGGAAAGTGGAAGAAGAGACTAGGAGGAAAGAGGGTGAGTAGCAAAGGAGAAATGGTGACCCTCTCAAGTTAAACAGACTTCTGATACAAAATCATGATGCTTCAAGAAGTGGCTAAGAGTATGGGCTTTGGAGTGGAACTCTGGATTCAGGTCTGGCTCTACTGTTTATTGCTGAGTGACCTTGGACACATTTCCTAAAACATTCAGATTCATTAGCTGTAACTCCGGGGTAAATTATACCTATTGTCTGAAGTTAAGAAGATGCCTTCTAAATGAAGACTAAGTCTCAGATGTGGAAATGAGGCCTCTTTGGACTCAGGTTGGTGTGAAGAATTAACCAGAGGTCACTCATTGATGACTAGAAAGAGCTTCAGAGAAATCCACAGCTCTGAAGAGCTCTTAGCAAGAGGGATTGCACCACCATGACACTGGCTCAGGGAAAACCCATCCTGCAGCCCTTACCCTGGCATTTCTGAGCCCAGTAACGAGGCTCAGATATGTTGGCTCATGTGAATTCAAAGTGTCATTCCTGCATCAATTTTTAAGAGGACCTTGATCAGGGACCTTTCCTAAGAACCTAGATTACAGTATAACCCACTGTGGTTGCTACGTGAACTTTGAGGCACGTGATACCCCTCTGCAAGTAGGACACGTGAAGAACTGGGTTCATCTCAGAGCTGGGTTTCGATAGCAGATCTCAGTATGTAAGAATACTTGAAGTTCTACTTTGCTCCAGCCAAGTATATGAGTGTGATGTGGGAGGTTTTTACTGTATCTTTAGGTACATTTATCAGAGCCATGGGTATTGTTCTATGAGTCATACGCTTTTCATTGGTTTTTAACCTTTGGGTCATCACTTAAGAGATAACTATGGAATTTGTGAATGCCTTTCTTCTCTCTCTTAAAACTGGAAATTGTGCCTTATCTCTCTCTTGCTCCATTTTTCCTTATTAGTTGGCAGTATTTTTTTTCTGAACTGTTGGGAGAATTCATTAATTACTCCTGCTGCTACTACCTCTAAACTATTAAGCATTTATTCCCCACTAGGAAATTTCAGCAAGAACACTGTAACTGCTAGTGTAAGAATTTTCTTAAAATTTGTCCATGAGCTGTCCTTAGATATGACTTATTCAGTGCAATGTTGAGCTCCTCTTCTACTTTTTAAATAGATAAAGCCTGAGGTTC